TTAGACCTCGAGCAAAGACGATGTTAGTTCTAACTTTCGGGAGGGGGGCCCGAGCGCTTCGAAAGCTCTCGGGATCTGGCACTCGGGCTCCAGCTTGTTCTTGGGGCCAGGCGCGACGAGATCCCATTCGCCAAGCTCCCGTGCTGTCAGCGGCTCCTTCTCAAAGCAACCGCGCGACTGCGCCGATCCTCGCATCTGGATGTTCGCGGGCTTGATGTCGCAGCGAACGCAGCCTTTGTCGCGCATGTACTGGAGCCCGTCGAGAACGCCGTTCAGGCCGCGGCGCACCCCGGACTGTGCGAAGGAGGACTTCTGGAGTAATTGGCGCACGTCGATCTCGTGCAGGTCGAACACGAGGCTGGTGCGGTTCCTCCATTTCCACCCTGGACGGGACCCCTGCGACTGTTGCAGCGCTCGTGGACGCGACCCCTGTTCTTCCGCCCCCGAGGCGGACAACTGCCTGAAAAGGCCCACGTCGAGAAGGCGAACGAGACTCGGGTGCGCGCCCAGAGCAACATGGCGTCTGACCCCATCATCAGCCGCTCCGCGGGCATCCGCATTGAACCCCTCGTCCGCATCACGGGGGTCGCCCCGCAGCATCTTGATTGCAGGGCCACGCTTGTCGCCTGGTCGCGCGCCCAAGTAGACCTTGCCGTAAGTGCCCTCGCCAAGCCCCCCTGCTGCCCACTCCGCGTCGCGCTCGCATGCCAGGCCCTCGCACCTGCCCCCGTCTCTGGCACCGTGCGCCTCACCGACCGCTTCGAGCTTCAGCGAAAGTAGATGGCAACCACCCTGGCTGGACACCGCTCTCGGACCAGCTGTCTCCGCGGCGGATCACAGCGCCTCCGCGGCGGGAAACAGCGCCTCCCCAATCGCCTCCTCAAGGCGAGCTGCAGGGTCACCCTCGGCGGCAGCGTCCTCATCCTTTGAGCCCCCAGGCCCCCTGGGGGCTGGCGGAGTCGGATCTTCCTCAGAGCTCCCCGGTAGCTCTAGCGTGCCATGTTAGCAGGCCCTGGGAGCTCTAACAGGGCATGTCAGATCCCCCACGGAGCTCGAACATCGCCCGTTACAGCTCCCAGGGAGCTCAAACATAGCAGGTTAGAGCTCATTAGAGCTCCCAGGGAGCCCTAAACATGCCACACGTTGAGATCGACGCGTCCGACTCGAGGCCCAGAGCGTCGGCGGGCGCCCCCTTCAGCAGCAGCCCGCGCGCGCGCTTCGGCCAGGCAGCCGACCGCGACGCGAGGGAGAGAGTGATCGATATATATATATATATATATATATATATATATATATATATATATGTATATATATATATATATATATATATATATATGTATGTGTATATGTGTCGGTGTACAAATACATGTCGAGGCATAGATATAGAGCCCCTCCTCCACCGAACCGCCAGCCCCGAGAAGCGCGCCCCCGGGCGCGCACGCACGACGCCGAGTGGGCAGGGGCAAAGCGCTGCACTGGCAGCGCGACGCTGCACTGGCGCCCCCCCCCCCCCCCCCCCCCCCCCCCCCCCCCGCACCGCGGGCGGGGGAAGAAGAAGAAGAAGAAGAAGAAGAAGAAGGAAAATATGGATATATATTGTTTGAGCGGCGGTGGCGCCAGACGCACTGACAGTAATAACTGCCCTCCCCCTCCTCCCCCCCCTCCTCCTCCTCCGATGCGCACGCGCGAGGGGCGCGCCGACGCGGGGAACCATGGGGCGCGTTCGCACGCGCAGGAAGAGGGGATGGGGCAAGAAAAAAGTGCATTTTTGCCCCGACGATGGCACGCGCGAGATGAGATCCACGCCGTCGCCTTCGCGACGGCCTGCTACCGCCCCTGAGAGCAGAGATCGGAGGGCGCGCGGGCGCCGGGGGGGGGGCTCGGAGGGCGCTTAGACTCGGGGGGGAGAACTGCGAAATATCACATTTCGAATGCCATGATGCGCCGTTTCCCTCCGCCCCCTTTCATCGCCTGGTTCCGAGAGGGGGGGGGGGGGGGGGGGGCGCAAGCCTGCTGCGAAGTGCGCGGCCTGTGGCTTCTCTCCGGTTAAAAGAACGGAGCGCCTGAAGCGCCATTTCTCTCTCTCCCCCCCCCCCCCGCTTCCTCCGATTCCCCCTTTTTCCGTTTCCACGTTCATCCTTCCCACGCTTGGTTTCCGAGGGCAGAAACGCAGGCCCGCTGCGAGATGCGCGGCCTGTCGCCCCCCATCTGGTAAGAAAGAACGGAGCGCCTGAAGCGTCTTTTCTTTCTTCCCGCTGCTCTTCCTCCGATCCCACTTCGTTCCACCTTCTTCCTTCCCGTGCTTGGCTCCGAGAGCGGAAACGCAGGCTAGCTGCGAAGTGCGCGGCCTGTCGCTTCCCCGGCAAAAAAAAAAAACGGAGCGCGCGCAGCGCATCACCAAGTCGACATCGATGCATGCAGATCTCGTCGCACTACTGTTCGGCATACTGGACGGCGCTGTTGCAGCGGAGGACGGGCCCTGGCCCGTGCCCTTGGCCAGCGCACCTTCGAGCTAGTGAGTTGCACAGGAGCCCGGCTTTGAAAGCCATTTCTCGAGATCTGACTTTGTAGAGAGCGAATACAGATGGGTCGCAGTTTTCAAATCGAATTGTCGCGGTTTCAACTCCGACGCAATATTGGTTATGGTTTCCAGGCCGAATGGGTTTGATTTCAAGTCCGCCGCAGCAGACGCATAGGGTGGACTCTGACGGTCAAGCATTTTCGCGAGGCGTCTCGCGGGGAGGAGTTGTGTTGATGAGCCTTCCTGCGTTCTACATAGGAAACGACCCACGGATCGTAAAACCCAAAGCGGCCCTTGACGTCTTCCAAGACGCCCCCCCCCCCCCAAAGGAGGCGAACGGCCCCCCAGGAAGGCGTCCAAGACGGCCCCCCGAGACGCCCCCGGGCCAGGATGACCCTCAAAACGGCCTTCAAGAGGACCCACAGAGAAACAGCACAGCAGAAAACATACCCCCCCAAACCCCAGACACACGCACACGCGCACACACAAACACATACACATGCACACACACACACTTTTTCTCGTCGGCGGACCTGGGGGCGCTCCGAAGCTCACGGCGCGATTCAGATACTTGCCACTGACCTTTGTCGTGGAAGTGCCAGACGGGCGAAACACCAGTGTCGAGCGTCAAAACGCAGCACACGCGCACACACACAAACACACACACACACACACACACACACACACACACACACGCACGCACGCACGCACGCACGCACGCACGCACGCACGCACACACACACACACAGACACACACAAACAAACAAACAAACAAACAAACAAACAAACAAAAACAAACAAACAAACAAACAAACAAACAAACAAACACACACACACACACACACACATCACAGCAGACAACATACCCTCCCTCAAGGCACACGCACACGCTCCTGGAACGATGAAGCCCCAACCGACCTACCGCTGGCATCCTGCTTGCGGCCTCTACTCGGTCAAAGGGCCCTCGCTTATACGGCGAAGGGCGGGGGTCTTCAGCAAACCAGCCCCCCGCTCTAGCGCCACAGGCAACCTCTTATGCACGTCCAGACGTGCACGCGCGTAGCGTTAGGGTATACAGTCAAATGCAACGCGGTGCGTACGATTGCAAACCGCGGGCGTGCGGGCCCGACGATTTGGTCGGAGGCCCATCGTGCCCTGGCCCCCTGGGCCTCGAGTCCCTGGGTCCGCTGGAATTCACGATGAAACTACTGGGCCCCCTTGAGCCCATGGGCTTCGCTGCATCAGATCGTCGGTTTGATATTGCCTTCCTCGGGGCCCTCTTGGGGGCCGCCCTGACCCCCGAAGCTCTCGCGAGGTGTCTCGAGGGAAGCCCCGGGGGCCCCCCGATACTCCAAGATCCCCCATAGAGGCCTAGAGGGCCCTAAGAATGCCCCCAAAGACACTCAGCAGAGCCCCAGTGCTTGTCACTTTCAGCCGCGAGGCCCAGAAACTTGGCCGCCCGCCGAAATCGGGCCGCCAGTTCCGGCGAACTCTTCGACCTCCGTCGGGGCCCCCTCACAGCAAGAATTGCTTTGGGCAAGAATGTTTCCTGCTGTGATGTGTGTGTGTGTGTGCGTGTGTTTGTGTGTGTGTGTTTGTGTGTGTGTCTGCGTGTGCGTGTGCGTGCGTGTTGCGGGGCGGGACTGCGCGCTGCCCTCTCTGAGCGGAGCCGGTGTAGCCCGCGCCGAACGCCGAGGATAGGAGAGGAAGGAGAAAATAACGTTGCGTATCTGAGACACCTCGAATACTGGAGGGAGGAGGGGTAGCAGGTTGCAGGATGGAGAGGGCAACGGGCAACTGGGCTGGGGGCTGGGGTTGGAGAGCTGGGATGACACCGGCTGGGGGGAGCAAGGGAGGACAAAGTCAAATCGTGCTTTTCAAACTAGTCAAATGATGCACCCAGCGCCCGCGAGGTGGGCGTCTGACTCAAATGTGGCATTCCTCAGCCACCAGGCGAACGCACATTCAAAGGGGCAGCCCAGACAGCCCAGCACTTGCATTCAGTCGGCGGCCACGGTATTTGACGATATTAAGTTGCTTATGTCATAAAACACTAGCTCTAATCGTTTTGCATGGCCGTCTGGTCTGCTCCCCGACCACAAGTGAAAACGCAACAGGACTGCAGAAGAAAGGCGAGCGAGCGCAGCGATCACGCATGACGGTCCCCATCCGACCGCACTCGTAAACTGCAGGCTGAGTGCATCCACTCCACACTCCCCCGCGGAAAGATCGGGCTCCCAAAATACCAATCTCCAAAACTTGCAAGCAATTGTCTGGACCACCAAGCGCCGCGCCGCGCCTGGTCTAGAGGCCAGCCGGGGACAAGTTCACTCTGTCGCCTCGAGAGATATATAATGCACAATGCACATCACCCTCCACCCTCCACCTTCTACCAAACAGCTCTGCTCAACACTCCTGAGTCCAGGGCCCAGGGCCCGCATGACCCATGACAATGTGATCTCGTCGCCCCTCGCGGTAATCAAGCGCCTGAAGCGGCGCTGGGGCTGACCGCTGCCTCGCATGCCGCCGCTGCGGACTCCCCCTTGGGATCCTTCGCGGCAGCGAAGGCCTCGCGGAGCTTGCCAAACAGAAGCGCGGCGGCAGGGTCGCCCTTGAAGAGCCCCCGTTGCACAAATCCACTGACGTCTGTGGCGTCGGTAGTGCTCTCAATGATCACCTTGCCAGCGGGCGTGAAAAAGGCGACGCCAGGCGACAGCGTCCCGAAGTGCACGGTGTGTTTCTTACAGAAGGCTTCGCACTTAGACCGGTCGAAGCTCTTGAACAAAGCTGAGGCCCTACCAGGCGGCGGCGGCAAGATGCACATGGGCATATTGCAGTCAGATGCCAAAAAACCGCATACATGAACATAAGAAGCGAGAACAACTTTCCTATTCCCTGAATCGTGGTAGCGCACGCTCGCCAGGCAATGATTCTCCGTTGACAACTTGACCTTCCCAACCCCCGCAGTGATGCAGAAGGTTTGGACCTGCATTGCGCTCTTCACGGGATCGTCGAAGTCGCGCGCGCTCATGCGCCCTGGGATGAGCTCGCGCATGAGCTTGTCCGCCAACTCAGCTGCATCCCCTTCGCCGCATCCCCGAGCGCCGCGCCCACACCTGGCCCGGATATCGGACGACGCGAACTCGGTCACGAAAGAGTCCAAGATACCCCTGACGCCAGCATCGGAAAAAGCCTTGCGGAGGCCGGGCCCGCAGATGATGTGCGGGACGCTGTAGTCCGTCAGGTCCGTCGTCATTTTGGTGGCCTCTTGCTCCTGCGGGGCGCGGGCGGCCCTTCTCCTCCTCCTCCTCCTCCTCCTCCTCCTCCTCCTCCCCCGCCCCCTCCCTCTTCCTCCTCCTCCTCCTCCTCTTCCCCCTCCTCCTCCTCCTCCTCCTCCTCCTCCTCCTCCTCCTCCTCCTGCCCCCCTTCCTGAACGTCCTCCGTCTGTCCCTCGCCCTCCCCATGTCCATCATCCACCATATCCCATGCCTCCACGTTTCCTCTTGCGCCTGCTCCTCCAATATGATCTGGCCCGATACACCGAACAATGGCCCTTGAACTTCGATCCGGGCCCTGGGGCCCCCATCAGAGGGCAGCTAAGCCGATCAAAGGCATGGGGCAGGGAGCGCGGCACGGCCGCTACACGACGCATTCACGAGAATGATCGTAACCCGAAGTGACCATGAAAATATACCGACAAGGATTGAAGCAAATGAACGGACACGGGGCCAGAGGCCAGGAAAGGTCGGATTGGTCACGCCTCGGTCCTCGATAGAAACCTGAGGGATCTCCACGCAGTGGTTGAAGCCGAACTCCATCCACGGCGAGCCGTCCGACCTGGGGAGGGGGTCCGCCAGCTGCTGCCCGACGCCTTTCCCAGCCTTGCCCTTGCCCTTGCCGTCCCCGGTCTTTCCTTTCCCCTTGCCCTTGATCGGCTTTGGCTTCATGATCTGGCCCCTCACAGTCGTTGCCTCCCTGGTAGCGACCTTCACGGCACTCGCCAGATCAACGATAGGTTCCCGGAGCTGCTTGATTTTCTCGTTCACGGTCTTGATGTCTTCCTGACTCTCGCAATCGTTGAAGGTCTGCGCCAGGATGTGAATCTCGGCCACGGGCTGAACCTCCATGTAGGTTGCGCACGGCGGGGCTGCTCCGACGGCGGTGCGGCCAGCGGCCGATCCACCGGATTTCCCTGCATCGGAGCTTGGACTAGCAGATGCAATATCACCGATCGCCGAGCCATTCATGGAGGGAAGCGAACGACTGGGGATCCAGCGACTCAGCGACTCAATGGGCCAAACAGCTCAGGAGACCAAACGACTCAGGGGCCAAACGAATCAAGGAGCCGAATGACCCCTGGGGCCCCAGGGTACAGGGGCCAGACGACTCAGTGGCCAAACGAACCAATGGACCGAATGACTCCTGGGGCATGGTATATGCGACTCCAGGGGCCAGACGACTCAGGGGACCAAACGACTCAGGGGCCAAACTAATCAGGGGACCAAACGACTCAGGGGCCAAACGAATCAGGGGACCGAAGGACCCCTGCCCTGCCCAGCCCTCGACCCCTGAACTTGGGACCCCAGACCCTCTGCCCTCCGCCCTCGCCAACCCCCAGGCCCATCTAGGGCCAGCCCCAAGGCAAATGGTGACATAGCAACGGCTCGAACCAAGCAGCGACGCAGCGCGCCTGGGGAAGCCTCGGGGCTGGAGAACTGCTGCTTCTGCGCCAGCAAATCGTTGGAGGAGCCCTGGAGCGCCACACTCAAGAAGGTCACGCGGTTCTGCGACGTCTTCGTCTCCACCACCAACTTATCCTGCACTGGCTTCTCGGATTCCGCAATCAGCTTCAGCACCTCCTTACCCTTTTCGGCCACCCACAGCTGGTTGGCCACCCGAGACTCCTGGGCTGCCTCGAAGGCCCGCTTGGCCTTATTGATCTGCCTGTCGGAGTCGAAGAACTTGCGCTTTTTCATATAGGGCTCAACCGGCTCATCGGCGCCATCTTGTTCATCGACGTCGTCCTTACAAATGTCTGCATCTTCCTCCTTAGCGTGCGCCGTCTCCAAGCTATCGATGTCTGGGATCTCGATGCCTTTGGACGCAAAACAATCCGCACCTCCTGCCGCGAGCATGCTGGCGCCCTCTTCCATGAGGTCAGTACCGATGTCCATGCCGGCCCCGTTGCTGTGGTCGAGCGCGAGAGCCTTATGCATCTCTTTGCACTGCTGCTCACTCGCATCCTTCACCGCCTTGCCGGATCCCTGCATGATCTTGCGGCGCTCTTGCTTGTTCTGGATATTCATGATGTCCTGCGTCTTACACCATATTCTCCGTTCCCCGGCTGGGCCCTTTGAGTCCCGTGGGGGCCAAGTGGACCCCGCTTCCTCGATCTGCGTCACCCACTCCGCCCACTGCCGCTCGGCCTGAGTATCCGTGAGCTTGCCGCCCGGCACCGACTCGGCCCAATGAAAGTACTGCTTCTTCGTCATCATCTCGCCGATTGTTTCCACTATGACCGCGGTCGAAAAGACGACCTCCTCGAGGTACTGGAGCGTCGTCGAGCGGGGCGTCCTGGGTGGATTACTGACGACGCGCTGCTTGTACTCGATCAGCACCTGCTGCAGCTTGACGTCGTTGGCCCGGATGCCCCTGAACCAAGCCACCTTCTCCGGGCCCTGGGACTTGGCAATGCGATGGATATCCAACCGGCCCTTTAGGGCGTGAGTGGTTTAGCGAGCTCGTTGGAGGGGCGATTGTGGTTCGCCCTCCTGGCCCTCCTCCTACCTCTCACCTTCTCCCCAGCCCCCCTCTCTCATCTCAACCTGTATCTGGGCAGGGCGCCCCGCGAGGCGTTAGAGGTTAGAGGGTCACATTTGGTCCAAGACAGCTCCATGAAGGTTCAGATGGCCCGAAATGGCCACCGAGATCGCTCAAGATCTCGAGACAGCCCATTATGTTTCAACATAGCTTCCAACAGTCCGCCTAGATGCCCCAGGGCCGTTCCGGGCTCAGCCCCAGGCCCCAGGCGGCCACGTGACCTCCCCCGTTTCCTCCCTTGCCCTCTTCCCCCCCCCCCGCTGTCTACAGGTAAGGGCTGCTGGCTGCGCGGCATGCGGCTATCCCATCGCGCGTTCCTACACTCCTTGATAACATGGCAACGGGCATCGTTTCTGGACGGGCAGGTGGGGATGCGGGATGCGCGAAGCGTCAAGGATTGTCCACGCGATTCTTGCAGCCGTAGTCGAACTGCATGCCCACGGCCATCTGGCTCTCCTCCCACCACAAGCCGCAGCCGCGGCACTGCTTGCTGTACTTCTTCGAATATTTCTTCTGGCCTGAGAAGAATCGAAAATAATAACCAGAAGCTGACACAGGGGTCGGGAGCAATATGCAATCCTGTTTAGCCCCAGGCATGGAGGAGCAGGAGGAGGAGGAAGGAAGGGGAGGAGCAGGAGGAGAGGAGAGGAGTGAGGAAGGGGCGATGGGCTTCTGAGTTCAGAGTTGACGAAGGCGACAACACGAGCTGGAAGTCAGAACTGCAGCACGCGCAGTCTGAGTAGCATAGGGTCCGAAGCCAGAGCAGGAACACTCCTGGGGCCTCAGGCCCCAGTGGCGCGACTAGCAAAATCTCGATGGTTTGCGGGCCCTCTCGGTTCTCGGTGCCATCTTGGAGCCCCCTTGCGGCACTATTTGGGCCCACCTGGGGCCTTGGCCAAACGCGGCACGGGTTCACAGGCCGCAGCTTGCTCCAAGACCTTCGCACTCTCGAGATTGAAAGCGCGTAGTTAGTTGAGCTGGGCTATGGCGTAAGAAGGAAGCACGGTGACGGGGTGGGGGATGGCGCATGGCGGATCGGGGGCGGTTGGCGATTTCTTATTGCTCGGCCCACCCCCGTGCCTTGAACCTCGGAAGGCTTCACCTCCTTGGAAACTCGCTGCCTGCGGGGTTGTCCGCCAGCGGCCTGTGGCGGCGGCGCTCCTCCTGCAGCAGCCCAGAGGTCGTCCTCCGCCGCCTCCGCCTCGACAGCCTCGACCTCCTCCCCGTCCACGCCCATGGTGAGCGCGGGCCCGGGCGCATCAGCGCGGCGCGCAGCCGACTGCTCCACCGCCGCTGTCGGCTCAGCCGCCGGTCTTGGCTGATGCTGGTCGGCCTGGGGCGGCGGCGGCGGCGGCTGCATTGTCATGGCAGCTGTCACACCTCCGGGATATGGCGGCGGCGGCCGCGCCAGAGTCGACGCCGCCGGCGCCTTGGACGAGGCCTTGGAGAACGTCGCGCCTGGCGCGCCTGCTCCGCCGCCGCCGGGCAACATGGCTGTCTTGCTGGAGCTTCTGAGTCTGGAAGGGCGAGCGTTTCCCTCCAGCCGAACGCCTGGGGCAGAATCCAGAATCTAAGCCTAAACGCTACGGAGAGTGGTGCCGTGGTGGCGTGGTGCCAGGTGTTGGGTCCTCGTTTCGAATAAGCCGCGCCCCGCGCGCCACTCGCTGGCAAGCTGCTGGCGAGCTGTCCTGGGCCGTCTTGGGGCCCTCGGAGCCCTGTGGGCCAGTCTTGGGGGCCTCCTGGAGCCTCTTGGGATCTCTCCTGAACAACCATGGGAAGCGTTTCTGGGGAGCCCTTTCACGAAACACTTGCTGGCAAGCTGTCCTGGGCCGTCTTGGGGCCCTCTCGGGGCCCCGTTGGCCAGTCTTGGCGCCCTCCTGGAGCCTCTTGGGATCTCTCGGGGCATATCCTGGGCAACCATGGGAAGCGTTTTGGGGGAGCCCTCTCAACAAAAACACTTGCTGGCAAACTGTCCTGGGCCGTCTTAAGGCCCTCTCGGAGCCCCGTGGTCCAGTCGTGGGGGGCCTCCTGGAGCCTCTTGTGGAGCCTCTTGGGACCTCTCGGGGCACATCCTGGGCAACCATGGGAAGCGTTTTTGGGGGTCCTCTCAAAAAGCACTTGCTGGCAAACTGTCCTGGGCCGTCTTGGGGCCCTCTCGGAGCCCCGTGCGCCAGTCTTGGGGCCCTTCTGGAGCCTCTTGGGACCTCTCGGGGCATATCCTGGACAACCATGGGAAGCAAACACACTTGCTGGCAAGCTGTCCTGGGCCGTCTTGAGGCCCTCTCGGGGCCCCGTTGGCTAGTCTTGGCGCCCTCCTGGAGCCTCTTGGGACCTCGCGGGGCATATCATATCCTGGGTGGGTCGCGGGTGGGTCGCGGCGCGGGTGGGTCGCGGGTGGGTCGCCGCGCGGGTGGCTCGCGGCGCGGGTGGGTCGGGGGTGGGTAGCCGCGCGGGTGGTTTGGTGGTGTGGCTGGTGGCGTTGTGGTTGTGGTGGTGTGGCTGGTGGTTGGTGGTGGTGGTATGGTGCGGTGTGGCTGGTGGTGTGGCTGGTGGTGTGGCTGGTAGTGTCATTGGTGGTGTGGCTGGTGGCGTGGTGGTGGTGTGGCTGGTGGCACGGTGCGGCTGGTGGCGGTGGTGTGGTAGTGTGGTGTGGCTGGTGGCACGGTGCGGCCGGTGGTGGTGTGGCTGGTGGCGTGGTGGTGGTGGTGTGGCTGGTGGCTGGTGTGGTAGTGTTGCGTGGCTGGTGGTGTGGCTGGTGGGTGGCTGAGTCACTCGCGCCATTCCTACACACAGCTGTTTGTGCCCCGTTGTTTGTACCGTCGTTTGTACTGGAGGAGGAGGAGGACGACGACGACGAGGATGGGACTGGGACTCTACAACGTTTTTCAATAACTAGGGAGGGGGACTTGACCACGTTTTGCAGAAAAGGGGGAAGGGACTCGACCACGTTTTTCAGCAAATGCCGATCTCGGCTTTCCGCGCGTGAGGGGTCATCTAGCCTCTAGCCAGCCCCACGCGTGACACTCGTGCAAAATAACGACCTCGAACGGTCGCATGTCAACTATGCGAGGTGACGGGATCGCCACCAATTTGCCGCGTCCTCGCCCGGTCTCCTCTCCACCTCCACCCTCCACCTTCATCGCTGCAAGACGGTAGCGGTGCCTCCAGCACGCCGACGGCAGCAGTACCTCCAGCCTCCAGCACGCCGGGTCGCCTCGACCCTCGAGGTCGCCGCCGACATCCCCTCACCGTGCCCTCGACCCTCGAGGTCGCGGAGTCCGGAGAGCCAAGACGCATCGAGAAACCTCCTGGGCCCCAAAACTCCACCTCGCGCCTCGGGTGCGCACCGTGTTATGTTTGCACGCTGTGGCGAGGGGCCCTGGCCAGGTCCTGGAACCAGGGCGGGGGCGTCTGGGTCCTCGGAAGTCCTCGGAAAGGGCCCTCGGAAAAGGCGGTGGCCCTGGGCGGCCTCCAGCGCCCTATACAAGAAAGCGTAACACCGCAATCATCTGCGAGACGACATCGCCCACGCTCGAGAGCAGCATCAACAATCCACCAGGCCATCTGGCCCCGAAGCAAGCTAGAGCACAGAGCACGCGCACAGGATACATCCCCCTCCCCCCCTCATTCCTCACTCCGACCTTCCCCACTCACTCCATCCCCCCTAGCTCGTTAGTCGGCTTCGCCCGCATCTACGCTAAACCCACCGATCAATCGGACAATGCCGTCGGCGTGAGTGACCCCATCATGCGACAGCAAAGCGAAGAGGAGGACTGAGCCCACAGCGGCAACGTGCATGCCGTTTCCGACAAGCGTCCGGACCTCCGCCAGCGTGGTGGGGGGTTCCCCATTAAACAATGATGCCAACGTCTGGCTGACGGACTGCGCAGCAGGATGATCTGCGGGGAGGAACACCGGCAGGCCTTGCATTGAAAAGTATTCAGACATGACAGCGAGGCGGTCCGACTGCAACTTTGGTGGCCGATTCGAAATCCTATAAATCACACTGTTCTTGATCAAAGCTGGCACGCATGAATGGAAGGCCGACTGTCTCTCAGGATTCTGGGACAGGCTGTGCACAGACGGGTCCGACATCACCAGCCCCCCCTCATCTATTTTCCTAAGCCTACGATGCGGCCCAGCATGGAGCAGGGCGCGCCACGACCATTGCATGCCAGTGGGGCCAACTGGGGGGAGGTGCCTGGCCTTAGCAAGCGCATCTCGCAATCTGTTCTGCTCGTGTTCACTTGATCTGAAAAAAACATTGGCATTGAGCTCGAGCGTCCGAAACGTTGCCAGGGAAAAATTGTCAGCCGTGTATGGGATTGCTATCCTAACTGAGTCCTGGAGAAAACATACACTGTAGCGGCGCGTCCGCTCAATTGGAATGCCCTGGTCAGGAGGGGTGAACACCACGCTTTGGACATGGTACAGCGAGCCCGAGCCCCCCCCCCCCGACTGCCAATTGAGAGCCGCATCGAGCATGCTCGGCATAAAGCCCCGAACGCACTCGTGGATTATGAGGTGGGGCCTCACATGTCTCATCATCCATGACCAAATAACAAATGGCATGACCGAGTCATCGAGCCACCCCCATAATTGACCGATCGGGCTAAATCCGACGCAAGTGGTCCCAGCGAGTTCCACGTGGAGTTCACGATCGTGAAGCGAGGGGAAATGCTGGCAATGCTTGTTGTGTTTGGCGCACATGTGCTTCGATCCTGGAACATATGTATACGGGTCCACCTCTCGCATCATAACGCGAAACATCCGTTTGCCGTCGGCCTCGACTCTCTTCTTGAAATCCTCCTTGCTCAGATTAGCCATTGCGACGCCACGTCGAGCTGCATTCAAACGATCTCCCCAAGTCCTGACAAGAGACGGCGGGGCAGCATCCAGAAGGTTGTCAAAGACGTGAAGAGGGCCGCTGTGAGGCCCGTGCTTTAACAAAACCCGTTGGCATAATCGCGACATGTCACACGCAGCGTGGCAGCGAAACATCGGCACCGTCACATCTCCATCAGCCCTCAGAAATGTCTCGATGGTGCTGGCCGCTATCTCTGCAGTCCCGATCCCAGAATAATGAGTCGCGATGCACACCTGGAGCGCGGAGCGCGGCACAAGTACTCGCGCCCATGCGCAGCGAAGGGACCCGGACCCTGGGCCCTGACGTACTGACGAACGCCCACACCCCAGACCCCAGACCCTTGTAAATATACTGGCTCTGAGCGTACCCCCCTAAGCCTTGTTTACCCATCGCCCCCTCATCATGCCCTCCCCCATGCCCTCCTCGCCCTCCTTCCCCCTACCCCCAGGGGGGGCCCAGGCCCCCGACATCCTTCCTTGCGCCCCTCGCCGCAGGGAGGGGCGGGGCAAGGGGCAGGGGGGGGGGCGAGGGAAGCGCGGCTTAGAGGCAAGGGGCTGGGCAAGGCTCGGGGTTCGGGATCCCATCGCCCCGAGGAGACGGCACTTGGTCCAACGCAGCCTTGTGATCACCAAGATAATTCAGACGGGCATCGATGTCGTTTCTGCCAAATGTAGCCCGCATCGTTGCCAACTGATCTCGGGGCCACGCGTGCAACTCCTCGTATGTCTGAGGCCCCCTGGGCAGATCTCCCCGGCGCGAGCCCTGTGAGGCTCCACCCCGATCACGGGGCGCACGATCAACTCCTCGTTCCCTGATTGGCGAAAGCACGGGCAGAAAAGCACTGGATGACTCGGGCTCATCATCGGCCCCAGGCTCAACGTCGGTGACGAACACAGAATCCAACCCCGACGCGCTGCTGCCGCCAGGCTCCCGAGACCGACTGCGACCCCGAGACATGCGAGGCCGCTGGCGGGGCCGTGGATCGTGGATCGAGGCCGCCCCTCTTAGCATGGCGCCTTACTCCCTCAGACATAGCGGCAATGGGCGACAGCGGTACGATAGACTGCGATTGCACGAGTGGCGACGCTGGTCCAGATGAGAGGCCGATTGCCACGAGAGATGACGACGACGACGACGACGACGACGACGACGACGGGACGACGACGACGACGACGACGACGACGACGACGACGACGGCGACGACGACGACGACGACGACGACGACGACGACGACGACGACGACGGAGGGAGGAGGGGGAGCTCTGCCTACTTGCGAAGTTGAGTTTGGCTGCTGTCTGCTGTCTCCCATCTTGTTCCCACTGCGGATTGTTGAACTCCTCCGATCAACACAACTCGCTTTCGCATCGTTCTTGGATGGGCTGCCAAAAGCGGGATGCACGAGGCGCTAAGAATTGCATTCCTGAGAGGGGCTGAGAGGGGCTCCACGGCTCCACGCATAGAGCGTAGAGCAGCCATCGAACGGGCCCTGAGAGGAAGGAGGGAAGTCAGGACGGTGAGAGCCAGGCGAGGAAAGGATGCCAGGGAAGGCGAAGCGAGGAAACGAGGTGAGGAATGGCGAGGGCGATACGTTCATCATTGTACAAAAACCGTCTCCGCATGTGCGCCATGCACCTGTGGCCAGCAACCTAGCAACTATTCGGCTTAGTATGGGCGCCAGCCCTCTGGCAACGGGGGGAGGATCGCCATCTTAGGCGGTGGCCCCATGGTCACCGAAGCTTTGCTGACACACACAGGATTTGAGAGGAGGTGCGGCGGCGGGCGCATCGCGGGAGGCTGAGGGCAGCGAACAAGATTCAAAGGAGGCGTCAGAGGACTAGACCTGCATGGGGTCATCGGAACGCTGACGCTCATCTGCTTTGCCACTGGCACTTGCACTCCTGGCACTGGAGCTGCTGACATGCCCACGACTTCGCAGACTGGCATTCCTGCCACTGGAGCTGCTGCCATGCCCACGACCTGGCCCTTCTGCTGGAAGTTCACTTGGACAAAGGAGGGTTGGCCGATGCTGCACTGCACGGGTTGGCCGTAGGACTGGCCAGCGATGCCTTTGCCGCCGATGCCGTCGCCATATCCGCCATTGCCGCAATTGTCGCTGATGCGGATGCGGCCATAGCCGCAGTTGTTGGTGACATCGTCGCTGTCGATCCTGCCCTTGCCGAAGAGGCCGTCGCTGTCGATATTGATCTTGCCCTTGCCGGCGAAGCCGTCGCTGTCGATCTTGCCCTTGCCGGTGAAGCCAGCGAAGCCGTCGCTGTCGATCTTGCCCTTGCCGGTGAAGCCGTCGCTGTCGAATTTTCCCTTGCTGGCGACGAAGCCGTCGCTGTCGAACTTGCCCTTGCCGACGAAGCCATCGCTGTCGAACTTGCCCTTGCCTGCGAAGCAGTCGCTGTCGAACATGCGCTTGCATATTGAAGCCGTCGCTGTGAAAGGCCCAGGCCCCCCCATCTGTCGTTGCGACTGCAGCTGCTGAGCGAAGGGTGTGACGGGTGTGAAACCTCCTGGATTGCCGCCGCTGGCGCCTGCCATGATGGGGCAGGGGCCATTGCCGTACGAGCTGCTTTCGCGACTGTCGCATCCTCCAGTCGCAGTGAGGTCGGCTCCCTGGTGGCCCATGCCGCCTGCGACGCAGCCGCCGCCGCCTCCGCCTCCGCTTCCGCCTCCGCCTCCGCCTCCGCCGTTGCCATTATCATTCCCTGGAGGCTCCAGGGGATACTCCCTACTCTGCGTAGTCGAGCTGTCTGGTCCAGGAACAGTGAACCGAGTTGCTCCATCAGGATGCACATAGTATCCGCCGCCGCGTGCGCGGCAGAGGGCCATGAGTGAGTCTCTGTCAGCCTCGTCGCATCTCCTCCCCTTCCCCCCCTCCGTTCTCCTCGCTCCTCCACGTATGCCCTCTCAACATTCCTCTGCAGCTTTTTGTTCTCTCTCTCTCTCTCTCTCTCTCTCTCTCTCTCTCTCTCTCTCTCTCTCTCTCTCTCTCTCTCTCTCTCTCTCTCTCTCTCTATATATATATGTTTGTTCATCTCTATTCATATGTTTCGGATACTATTCTCCATCATGTACCCCCTATCCCCCTCAGGGATGGTATTGTTATGTAGTAGTTCCCCTCTCTCATTCTCTCCATCTCTCTCGTCCGACCTCCCTTCCACTCCTCTTATCTTCTCGGCCCTGATCACGGGTTGAGCCGAAGGCCAAACTATATGAGTCCAGACACGCTTCTTGATTGATGGCATGCCCAGGCTGTGCCAGTGAAACTTTGCACCATGCTTGTCAAGGTCGAAATGAACTCTTGACTCAATCTCGCCATGACGAGAACGAAAAACGCTGAAGTTCTGGGCGAGAACATACACTGTACACTTTGCTTGAGCCTGCATGGCGCTAGTGACATCGAGCGGTGGACCCCAAACAGGGAACTGCATCACAGTGGACCCCAATCGGCGCATGGCGCATACCCCAAACAATTGACGATTGCACTGCGCTGCGTATCCCAAGCAGTGACGGCCCCAAACGACGAGCCTGCATGTCCCCAAACAATGAGTTATTGCTATGACGCATGATATGCAATGTGCGCGCCCTATGTCATGTGTAGTCTGACGGTCTGACGTCGGCCCCTAACATATCCCTAAAGCACTGCCGCTACAACATCCCTAAAGCACGGCACGGCCCCTAAAACACCCCCTCGGTTAAGGTTATAACAGCCCCTACAACATCCCTAGAGCACGGCCCCTTAAACATCCTTAAAGCACGGCCCCTAAAGCACGGCCCGGCCCCTTAAAACACGGCCCCTAAAACATCACTAAAGCACGGCCCCTAAAACATCCCTAAAGCACGGCCCCTAAAACACACTTAAAACATCCTTAAACACTGCTCTTAAAACACCCTCAAGCACGGCCCCATAAACCATCCCCAACGCAACCCTAAACCTTGCCCCTAAAACATCTCTAAAACACGCCCCCTAAAGCATCCCTGAACAAGGCCCCTAAAACAACTAAAACAACCGTAAAACACGGCCACTAAAACATCTCTAAACACGTCCCCTAAAACATCCCTGGCGTCGTCGTCGTTGTCGTCGTCGTCGTCGCCGTCCTCGTCGTCGTCGTCGCTGCCGCCCTCGTCGTCGTCGGAGCTGGAGCCGGAATCGGACTCGGAGTCCGAGTCCGAGTCGTCGGAGACGGAGTCGGGGTAGGGAAGGGAAAGGGGATATTGTTTGAAGTTAGAGGAGTATCGAGGAGGAAGAGGGGGAGGGAGGGAACAATGTGAAGGATGTCTATCGTCGCCAGAGTGTCAGAGTGCGTCATCGTCGAATTCCAAAGAAAAATTAGGGCACACAAATAAATACACACACATAAAAATAGTCCCCATATTTTATCATATTTTCTAAGTTTTTGTCTTCCCCCCCAATTCCCATATTTTCCCATATTTTCTTGGGAATCGAGGATTAATTGTGTCTGTGTGTTTTTTCCCTCCTGAAATTCGCTGGGAATGGGTTCGAATGGGAAAGAGCTGGGTGGGGCGGCGGCAATCCACAGCATGACCATCACCGCCCGCGTCCTCGTCTACTCTCCACTCCACCTTCATCGCTGCAGGACGGCGGCTGCGCCTCTGGCTTGTAACACGCCGAAGGCCTCGACCCTCGAGTCCTCGAGGTCACGGACTCCCAAGACGCCTCGAGAAACCTCTAGGGCCCCAAGATCCACGGCTTAACCTCGCGCCTCGGGCGTGGACCGCGCTATGCTTGCACATTGCGCACTTTGACGTGTGGGGAGTGGCGAAGGTCCTGGCCAAGTCCTGGGTCCTGGGGCCAGGGCGGCCGGGCGGCTGGGTCCGAGGGCGCTGTGGGCCTTCGGGTGAGCGTGGGCGCAGGGCTGCCTCCAGCCCCCAACGGTCTGCCCAATAAGACGCGGCACCACATTCATCAGCGATACGATCGGCCACGCTCGAAACCAGCATCAAAAACTCCACGAAGCCATCTGGCCCCTAAGCAGGCTAGAGCACGCGGACGGAGGGCGGTTCCCGTATGAAAACGCGCCGTCGCGCGCATTCCGCGGACCCCGTTCTCGGGGTGCCAGGCTACGCTTTAGGCATGGGGACTATGGGGCTTCGGATTGCGAACGTCAATGCATGCCGGCTGCTGGAGTGGGCTCCTTAACTATTGCGTCGTGGCTGCATCGGAGGTTGGGGGTTGGTGAAACCGACATGGAACGAGGGAACGAAGGGCGCCCCAACTGGAAAATCGTTATGTCTCGCCCCCAACTATCATGTGGTGTTGGGTCCTCGTCGTTAAGAGGAGAGAGCGCCCCGCGTTCTCCTTCCTCCTTTCTCCTTCCTCCTCCTCTTCGCCCCCCTCCTCCAATCACCATCATCACCATCATCATCAGCATCATCATCATCATCATCATCATCATCATCATCATCGTCACCATCGTCGTTATCATCAACATGATCATCGTCGTTATCATCGCTATCATCGTTTTCAATACCGTCATCACCATCACCGTTATCGCCACCAATTTCGTCACACCCGTCGCACGTGTCATGGCCGCATGGGGAGTTTCATAAAGGCCCCAGCGGGTGTGATCACCTCCCCCCCCCACATATTTCGGCACACCCCTCACGCGCTTCGCGGCCCGATGGGGGGCTCCCAGTGGGTGTGATTACACGCGCCCCCCCCCCCACCCATTTTGGCACACCCAACAAACGCTTCGTGGCCCCATAGGGAACTCCACCAATGGGAGCCATCTGGAAGTCTCGGATGGCCATCGGCTGCGAAAGGGCGAGAAGGCAAAACAAATGATAATAACAATGATACTTGAGTTTTTGTCCCTAAAATAACTTTTCGAATGATTCTGGCTTCTTGGAGCCCTCCGTGTGAAAGTGTTTGGCCTCTTGGGGCCGTCTTGGGGCGGTCTTGGGGCCCCCTGGGCCACCTTCGGAGCTATCTTGAGGCATCTTGGTCTGCCTAGAGCAATCTTGGAGCACATCTTGCGCCCTCTGAAGCGCTCTTGGAGCCGTCTTGGGCACAGAAGTACCCTCTGACCGCTCGCGGAACCTCCCGGTCCAGGTCCAGAGGGGGGGTAAGGGAAGGGGAAAAGCCACCGAAAGTGAATGGGGGAGGTTGGAAGAGAAAACTCCAACAACCACCTACGCCCAGAGGGCTGGTGGGATTGCGCTGAAAACTTGCCGAACACATGAGCGCCGCGCGAACGCTAGCAGCCAATTGCAGAAACGACCGCAACCTCATGGAATTGCACGGAAACGCCACGAACAGATCCACACCGCACGAAAATGTGCGAACACACACAAAAACATAACACATCGTTGAAACAAAAAAAAAAAACCAAAAACAAAAAAACAAAAAAAAAAAAATTACGTTTTGCCGTTGTTGTTGCCGGTTCCGTCGCCGCTTTCTTGCCGGCTCCGTCGCCGCTTTCTGCTCCGGTCCTGGTCCCGCCTCCTATCCCGGAGCCGTTTTTTGTCCCGTTTCTGGTCGCCGTCTCTTTGCACCGCTTTGCCAAGAGACTTTTTTTTTCTAAGGCGGCGAGAAAATACCCTGCCGCGTCCGGGGCCCACCGAGATCAAGACGCGCACCCAGTCGCATGCGCCACGGTGCCCCCCCCTCCCAGCCTAGGTCGGGCCTGTCCCTCTACGCGGGGAATTTGGGCGAAAAATGAAATACTCCGAAGGAAAGACCCTACGTGAAAATCCTTTCGGGTAATCTGGAAATAACATTCGCTGTCGTCCTCGCGATAAGTGAGGCGCCCTTACTGTCTTGTCTGCGTCATTGTCATTCTCGCCCTGGTCCAGGGCCCTCACCCGCTCCCCGCGTTGCCCTTGCCTCGCCCTCCTGCTGTTCGTTTCGTCACCCACCACCTCCTCTCCCGTCTATTGCAAAAGCGCGCGCGTCGATTTTCCTCGACGCCGTCGCCGCCTCGGCCAGCGCGGGCGCATTCTCGAATGGCCGCGTCGCGCGGCCGTTGGGACAACCCTGCGGGCCAGGCCGTTGGGGCAACCGCGCGAGCCGGTGGGGCGCGGGAGCAAGCCGTTGGGACAACCCCGCAGGCACCGAGCTAGTCACGGCCGCGCTCAGGCGGGAGGCAGCACGAAGCCAAGCTCTGCGGCGAGCCCGATTCGGCCGAGGATGGGTTACCACCCCCGGCCCAGACGCAAGGGTTCCCCCCTGCGCCCGATTCAGCTGACGATGGGTTACCACCGCCAACCCGGAGACAAGGGCTTCCCCCTGCCCCCGATTCGGCTGACGATGGGTTACCACCGCCAGCCCAAAGACAAGGGTTTCCCCCTGCCCCCGCTTCGGCCCGAGGGTGGGTTACCCCCCCCGGCCCGGACGCAAGGGCTTCCCCTTGCGCCCAGCCGCCGTCGTCGTCCTCACATCCTGTTCCTCCTCTTCCTCTTCACCGCTGGGTCGGGCGAATCGCCCTCTGAAGAGCGCATAGGGAGGGGGGCTCCCGCCTGAGACTTCCTCACAATTCACTCACAGACGAGGCTCACGGCCTGATACTTCCTCGAGATTAAAGCGTCGGGAACACTAACGTGACGACAGTTACAAAGTTGAGGATGACCCGCTCGGATTAAAAACATGAAGTGCGGGCCCCATAGGGACGGGGCTCCCGCCTGAGACTTCCTCACAATTCACTCACACACGAGGTCCCAGCAAGATACTTCCCCCATGTTCAGGCCTCAAGAGCTCAAAAGTGACGACTGTTACAGGGTTGAGAATGACCCGCTTGGGTAAAAAAAACATGATATGCGGGCCCCATAGGGAGGGGGCTCCCGCCTGAGACTTCCTCACAATTCCCTCACAGACGAAACTCCCGCCTCATACTTCCCCCCTATTGAGGCCTTGGGAACCCAAAAGTGACGACAGTCCATAGGGAGGGGGCTCCCGCCTGAGACTTCCTAACAGTTCACTCACAGACGGGGTTGCCCGCCTGATACTTCCCCCATATTCAAGCATCGGGAGCTCCAAAGTGACGACAGTTAAAGGGTTGAGGATGACCCGCTCGGATCAAAAACATTACTCCGACGGTAGGACCCCGCATGATAATTTGTTTAGCTTGCCTGGAGTCCTCCTCCTGCCCCCTCGCTTCTCCCACCTACTCCTGTCTCCTCCTTTTCCTCCTGCCTCTTCCTCCTCCTACCTTATCCCCTGCCTCCTCCTCTTGCCTCCTCCTCCTCCTCCACCACCACCACCACCTCTTCCTCCTCCTCCTCCTCCTCCTCCTCCTCCTCCTCCTCCTCCTCCTCCTCCTCGGTATGCCTCCTCCCCCCATTCCCAATGCTCCTCCTGCCTCCTGCGTCCTTTTCCTCCTGCTGCTGCTCCTTTCCCCTCTCCTCCTCCCTCCTCCTCCTCCTCCTCCTCCTCTTCCTCCTCCTCCTCCTCCTCCTCCTCCTCCTCCTCCTCCTCCTCCTCCTCCTCCTCCCTCCTCCTCCCTCTCTCCATCCTCCGCCTCCTCCTCGTTTCCATCTTCCCCCCCCCCCTCCTCCGCCTCCCCCTCCTCCTGCCTCCTGATTCGGCTTCCTGCCTCCTCCTGGGGACTCTTCGGGCCTCCTGGGGCCTCCTGGACCCTCCTGGCCTCCCTGGACATCCTGGGGCGTCCTAGGGCACTCCTTTTCCTCCATGTCCTCCTCGTCCTTTTCGCCCTCTGCTCCCTCCTCCTCCTCCTCCTCGTCCTCCTGCTTCTCTTTCTCGTCCTGCATCCTCCTTCCTCCTCCTCCCTCCTCCTCCGCCTCCGCCTCCGCTTCCGCCTCCTCCTCCTCCTCCTCCTCCTCCTCCTCCTCCTCCTCCTCCTCCTCCTCCTCCTCCTCCTCCTCCTCCGCCTCCTCTTTCTCCTCGTGCGGAACACGACCCAGAGGAAGAAGCGCACGACGTGCGTCCCGGCGGATACGCGCCAGAGGACGACCAAAAGGAAGCGCGCGCCGGAGGACGACCTGGAGGAAACACGAGAGGCGCGGGCCCCATAGGGAGGGGGCTCCCGCATGGGCCGTCATCACAGCCCACTCACAGACGAGGTTCCCGCCTGACGCTTCCCCCATATTCTGACCCAGGAACCCATAAGTGACGACAGTTACAGGTTCGAAGATGACCCGCTCGGATTACCAACGTGAAGTGCGGGCCCAACAGGGACGGGGTTCCCGCCTGAGACTTCCTCACAGCTCACTCACAGACGAAGTTCCCGCCCGATACCTCCCCCATATTCAGGCCTCAGCGTCGACAGTTACAGATTCGATGATGACCCGCTCGGGTTACCAACATGAAGTGCGGGCCCCAGAGGGAAGGGGCTCCCGCCCCAGACTTCCTCACAGTTCACTCACAGACGAGGCTCCCACCGAATGCTTCCTTCCCCCTATATTCAAGCCTCACGAGACCAAAAGTGACGACGGTTACAGGGTCGAGGATGACCTGCTCGGATTACCAACATGAAGTGCGGGCCCCATAGGGAGGGGGGCTCCCGCCTGAGATTCCTCACAGTTCACTCACAGACGAGGTTCACGGCCTGATACTTCCTCCATATTAAAGCCTCGGGACCCCAACGCGACGACAGTTACAGGGTTGAGGACGACCCGCTCGGATTAAAAACATGAAGTGCGGGCCCCATAGGGACGGGGCTCCCGCCTGAGACTTCCTCACAATTCAGTCACAGACGAGGCTCCCGCTTGATGGTGCTGAGTGATGAGAGTGTGTGTGTGTGTGTGCGATGTGCGATCGAATACGATGATGATGGCGGTGGTGGTGATGTTGCTGATGATGACGATCGATGGCCGAGGGTGATCGTGATGAATGGTGAACGACTGAGTATGATGATGGTGGTGGTGATGATGACCAGTGGTGATGATGACCGATGACGGGGTGAATACGTGAGCGAGGCGGAGAGTGGGAGGGGGGATCCTGCGCGGAGGGTGTCCAGAGAAAACTACTCCGACGGTAGGACCCCGCATAATAATCTGTTCAGCTCCCCCTTAGCCCCCTCCTCCTCTCCCTGGCGGACACTCTCCTATCACCCTCTGCGCTGCCCTCTCCGCCTCCCTCTATGTTTCCTCCTCCTATTCCTCATCCTCCTCCACCTCCTCACCCCCTCATCATCGCCCTCCCCCATGCTCCTTCCCTCCTCCTCATCCTCCGCCCGCGTCTTCTCCACGCGCGCCTCACCGCCCCCCTGGTCGGCGCAAGCAAATGGACGTTCCTCGGCGCCCTCGCCGCCCGGGCAACGCGAGGTCTCGCGCGGGCGGCCGCAGGATCAGCATGTTCCGCACGCGCGTGGCGGGGGGGAACATGACGTAGAGGTGCAGCCGACACTGCTCGTCCGACATGCCCGTGCGACCAGCGTCCTCACCCCTGGCGCAGTCGATGGCGACGCCCTTGCGCAGCGTCTGACCCTGCGACAGCGCGGAGGTCAGATGGGACACGCGCGCCAGGGTGAACCCCGAGCGGCGCACGCCGTGCGGCCCCGAGCTCTGCCACGTGAGCTCCTGCTCGCTGGGCCCGAACATGAGCAAGCTCCTCGCCCGCGCCTCGGCCGCGCCGTCGTCGTCAGCGCCGTTGGCGCTCTGCAGCAGCACCTCGGCGACCTCCTTGTAGATCGGGGACTCCTTGAAGCCGTGGACCTGCATCCCGATCCCCTGCGGTAGGTAGCGGGGGCGAAAAAGCTGTCCCGGCGCGCACTCCTCGCAGTCTCGCTCGTCGCCTGCGTGAAACTCGAAGGACACGACGGTGGCCCGTTGCTCCTGCGCGAGCACACACACTTCTTCTTCAGCTCTTCCTGCACGGCCGTGAACCGAACCTCCATGCTGACGCGTGCTGGTAAGACGCCGTGGATGTCCCCCGTCTTGTGCATGTTCGGGACGTTCCGGAGGCGGCGGCCTGCGTCTGGGTCACCTTGAACCGTGCCGCACTCGTCTGCGGCCTGCAGGAAAACGAGGGGCGCGCCCAGACGCCGCGCGTCACGACGAGCACGCGCGTTGATCCACCTCGCGAGCGTCTCCCAGTAGATGCCCATGCCGAAGCCGAGCCGACTGTTCTCGCGCTGGTGCCGAGGATCCAGGACGCCGCGGTTGTCCGAGGCCAACGTGTTTTCCCAGGCAGACCAGACCTCCGGCAGGAAGCGCTCGCCCTCGCGCATGCAGCCCAAGAACGCGATAAGAGGGCCCCCGGGCTCGACGCGCTTCGTGCCCTTCAGCTCGAAGACGCAGGGGATGCGAGAGAAGGCGCTGATGGCGCGCTGAATCTCCACCGTCGGCGGCTCCGCGTACTTGAAGGACCCGTCGCCCTGGCGCTCGTTCACGTGCGTCAGGAGTTCGATGCTACCAGTGAACTTCAGCTGTAGGAAGTCGCCGAGGTGCAACACGATGGGGACGCGCCCGAAGTTGCGATGCGGCCTCTTGTAGGTGGACTCCTGCACGACACGCGTGTCACTGCGCCCGTGGCAGGCGCGAAAATCCAGCGCGTTGTACAGAGCAGCCGCCACCATGCTCACCTCCTCGATGACCAGAACGCGAACGTGCTCCCACAACCACTTCAGCCTCTTCTACATGACCCCCGGCCTCATCTTCGCGTCGATGTACTTCTGGACTCGCAGGGTACAGGCATTGTGCAGCGCTCTGGCCTTCACTGTCTCCGCGGAGATGTTCTTCGCCTGCGCGTTCGAAGGCCACGACCATCACGGCGCCCTTGTCCTGCGCCGACGAGGGCCACGCATACTCCGCCACTGGGAAAACGACCTTCTGCACCGCGTGCGTATTCCCCGAGCCGCCCTGGCCCAGCAGGAGCAAGTGCGTCGCGTTTCTTTCGCCCCAGGACTTCTTCTGCACGTCGTCCTCCCAGGCGTCGTCGCAGGCCTTCGCGAACTTGGCGACGAAGAGCGTCTGGCCCCGCGTGAGTCTCTCGTTCTCCGGCAACCCAGCGACCAGGGCGGCTATGTACGCGCTGGGCGTTGAGTACACGCCGCGGGCAAAACTGGCCGCAGCGGGGTCGTCAGCGCCCGCGTCATCCTCGTCGCGATTGCCCTGGAGGCGGTCGTCATGCAGGTTTGCCCAGGCGCGTCTCTCCTCGCGCGCTGCGGTCACCAGCGGTCGGTATCTGGCCGCGGCCGCAGGAGCGGTCGCGGCCTCCGTCGGCCCGGGAGCACCCGCGCCCTCGCGGGCCGCCTCGGACATGCACGGGAGCGCGAGGAGCTCCTTGGCAAACCTCGTGAGGCGCTTGCGGTGCGCGAAGTTCAACGCGTCCGCCACGTCCTGCCCCCCGTCGATGCCCCAGGTCGGAACCGGCTGGAAGTGCGCTCGGACCGCCGAGGGGGACGCGCCCGGGTGTTCCACGCCCTCGCCCGCCACGGCGCCCTCGTCCTGACCGGCGCCTCCACCGGTGGTCGCCTTGAGGCGCGCGCTCTGCGCGGCCGCGTCGCTCTGGCACTGCCAGGGCTTCATCCCCTCGCGTGCCAAGGCGATTCCCTCGAGGTTTGGCGCCACCTGCATGGCCACCATGGAGGCGCAGCGGCGCACCGTCGCCCTGGGTTTCTCTCTGTCGGGGCAAGGGGCGGGGCCCAGAGAGTCGCCCTCCCCGCCCTCGCCCTCCGCCCGCGCCTGGTGCAGCGCGAAGCATTCCTCCTGCACCTCCTGCGCCTCCCAGATCGAGGGCCACTCGTGCCGCGCGAGGAAACGGGCCGCGGCGACGCGGGCCTCCTCGTCCGCCTGGGCCTCGAAGCGCGCCCAGGCTCGCGCGAAACAAGTTGAACCGCGCGCATTCATGTCAAGGGGCGCGCCAGGGGCCTCCATCATGGGCGCGAACGCCTGCAGCATGCGCTCGTCCTCCGGCGTCTTCGAGTTCCCCGCGTCCAACAGCCCCAGGAGCAACTGCTTGAAAAGACAGGCAGTCTCGCAGTCTTGGCTCAGCGTCGGCACGGTGAAGCCCTCGAAGAGGGGCGCGCGGAGCTCGGGGTCCAGGGGCTGTTTGCGGGTTGCGCACAGGGCGCAGCGCGGCGCAAAGTCGAAGTCCAGGTGCCGCGCGCGGGCCTTGTCTCTCCACAGGCCGTCGGGCTTCTCGCATCGGTAGACCCACATTGCATGCACCTGCGAACTCATGTGCTTGAGGACCGGGTCGCCGCCGCGGCGCAGCCAGTCGCCCAGAGTGCTCGTGGCCCTCACGACGCAGAAGCCGCCCCCCGTCTTCGGGGCCCCCTCGCTCTCGCAGCCCATGTCCTGCATGAACTTCGCCAGAAACGACGCCGCCTGGCGATGCTCGGGCGCGTCGCGCGCCGCCTTGGTCGCGACGTCGTGCTCGTCGGCCGCCAGGGTGTCGGGGAAGCGCCGGCCTTCCGGACTCACGCGCACCGCCTGCCCGCCGCTCTCCTTTTCCTCGCGCCGCCCCTCGAGCGTGCACGGGTCGACGCCGCGCCCGAGGCACTGCACCAGGGCGCGACCCCCGTCCTGCGCGGTCTTGCGTCGGAGAGAGCGCCCGCGCTCGCGTCGCCACGCCTCCGCCGCCGAGAAGACGCCTTTCTTGATGGAGACCGTCCAGCAGCAGTGGGACGCGTAGGCGAGGTGGCCATGAAAGATCGGGAACAGCATCTCTGGCCCGCTCTTCCAGTAGCATCGGCGGTACGACGCGGACAGATTCTTCGCGAGATCCAGCGTCTCCCCGAATTGCATTTGCCCCCGAGCGCTCTCCAGTCGGCGGCGGACATACTCTTCTCGGGGTCCTCTCCGCGCTGCGGCAGCTCCAGCTTCATATTGTCCTGCTGCGCCTGTCGCTGCGCCTGCAGCCGCTCCAGGCCGCGCCGCATCTCCACGAGGACGCCCTCCATGCTGGGGCGCTGGTTCGTCGTGTAGGAGTTGATGTAGAAGCCCGTGTTCAGGCCGTCGCTGAGCGCGGCCTGGGCGCCCAGTTCCAGCTGGTCTGCGGAGGCAATCGCGGCGCCCGCGTCCTCCGCGCCCTCGCTCTCCGCGTCCTCCGTCAGGCACTGCCGCAAAATGTCCCGCCACTCCTCCGGCGAACAGTCGTCCGTCCACGAGAGCGGCCACCCTGGGGCCTCCGGGCGGCTCACGCATGCGTCGGCACCGCCCAGCTCGCATTCGCCCATGTGCCCCGGCTTGGGTTGCGAGCCGACGCGCGGGAACACCTCGCCCACGTCCAACCAAGCTTTGGGGTCGCTGACTCGTCGGAGGCCCTGCGCGCCCAGGTTGAAGCGCCCCGCCGCGGCGCCGGCGCAGTTGGTAATACACTCAGACGGGCGGGGTTGGAAGTGCAACAGACGACCCTGCATGCCGCGCGCCGAGGACCGCACCGCAAACATGGCGTTCCGCAGAGGCCCCCCTTGCCTGCGCCTGCGCCAATCCGCGAGCGCGACGATGCAGTGGAAGCCGCGGCGGCAGATCTTCGCGGTCTTGTCGCCCGAGTACCTGCAGCAGCTCTCCCCGCGCACGCGCGCCATCGTCTCTTCGGCGAGCTCCCGGACGTCCTTCGAGAAGAGGCGCTCCCAGACCTCAGGACTCTCTTCCGTTCCTGGCGGGGGCGGCGACGGCGGCGCCTCCTCGCCGGCGGCGAGCGTCGCCAGGCCGACTCCTGGCTGCCGCGACTGAGCCACGGGCGCGTCCGAGCAGACCGTCGGGACAACCCCGCGGGCCGCTGGCTCGCCCGCGCCGGCGTCTTGCCGCGCGAGGCCGCGCCGCCGGCACGCGGGGCATGCCCCCACGGCAAAAGCATCGATGGGCATGCCGTATGGAGACGCCCGCGGCGGCGCCTTCTCCCCCGGCGCCAGCTCGCGGCCTGTGGCGCCCCGCAACGGCAGATCGGGCCGGAGCCAGGAGCCCCGGTCCTCGGTCTCCAGGAAGGTCTCCTGGTCCTCAGCCAGCTCCGCGCCCGCCTGCTTCTCTTCGCGGAGCGCGCCCAGCTCGCTGCCCCCGTCGAAGCGCGACTGGTCTCGTTCGATGACAGAGAACGGCAGCGGGTCCAGGCGCTGGCCCGCGCGCCCGAAACGCCGCGGCAACACCTCCACGGAGCTCTGGCAAGTGCTCTCCACGGCCACGACGCACGCTTTCATCCACTTGCCCAGGCGCTCTCGGGAAGCAGCAGGATGGCGTCGGAGCACGCGCGCGAGCTGGCGCGTCGGGAGGGCGCACAACCACACCAGGATGCGTGGATGGAGCGATCCCCACCCTTGCGCCTCGATCTCTCCGCGGAAAGCTCACGCGGGCCCAGAGATCCCTGGAGCGGTCGAGGACGCCGCCACGCCGTCGGTGCACAAATCCCAGGAGCAGCGTTTCCTGGGAGGAACGCCGCGCCAGCGGCCGCCCACGCACTCGGGGCGGACGCCGAGGACGCGGGCGAAGAAGAGGCGCATGATGAGCTCGAAACATACGGTCTGGCCGACCGGGTCCTGGGCGACGCGCCGCAGCATGTCTCGGTACTTTGGGGTGACGTCGCTGCGCAGGCCTGGAATGCCCCGGTCGTCGAGCGGGATCTCCTGGCCCTCCAACCTGACGGACAGCGGCTGCTTCTTGTCCGCTATGTTCGGGGTGGCGAAGATCAAGGGGCACCCACAGAACGCCATGTAGGCAACCCCCTCGTGGCGGCAGAGGCGCCGATGTCCGTCGGTGCCGACGACGTCCGCGACGGCCATCTGCATGATGTTCAGGGCGTCCCGTACCACGTTGGGTACGTCGGCGTTGCTTGCCAGAGCCGCCACGCCGCCGCCGCCCGCGTGAACGCGGGCGGCCGCAGCCAGGGCATCCGGGGTGAGGTGCCGCACTTTCTCGGCCCACTTCATGCCTCCGTTTTTCAGGAAAGCGAAGGCGGACTGGCGGCGCTCCGTCAAGAAGTGCAGCGTGGCGAACATGCGCAGCGACACCCAATCGGCCGCGAACCGGTTGACCTCGGGGTCGTCGTCGTTCTCCCGCACGCGGTGCGGCTTCTCTTCGTCGGTGTCCAGAATGCACTCCATCTCCTCGCGCATGCACAGGCACGTGATCCATTCGTGCGCGAGTAACTGCGGGTGGGTCCCCGTTCGTTTCGGGCCCAGGTGGCCGGCGTCGCCGCAGCGCCACAGGCTCGGGCGCGCCTGCGCCCGCACCTCCCACTCGAACAGCGACAGCAGGGGCGCAGTGCCGCGCGGCAGCTCGAGGTTCGACATGGCGGCCTCGGCCCCCGCCCGTCGAGGACCGAACGGTTCGTCAAGCGCGGCGCGCGGGATGTCCTCTTGCAGCCGCAGCTCCCGTTTCGGAGGCGACATGCGGGGAGCGCGGTTTGTAACGGACTCGCAGAGCTGCAAGACGCGCCCCCTGCCCGCCTCGTCCAGCAGCGCGCAGTGGCGTGCTCTGTCTCCTTGGCCACGGAGCGGCGCGCGGTCGCGTCCAGTTCCTCCAGCGGCTTGATAAGTGCCGTCACCTCCAGAGCCCCAGCCGAGGCGGCCGGGGCCGGGGTGTCCTCCTCCCTGAACGCGCTCACGTACCGGGACTCCTTGCACGCCTGCACATCGTTGCCCTCCAGATCCTGCGCCCCGGCCGCCGCGGCATCGGCGGGGCCCGCGGCCGCGACGTCGCCGGGCGACTCCTCCAACGGCACAGCCACGACGCTATCCAACTCCACGGGGGGCACCTGAGGAATCAGCGGGTTCGAGCGCCACTGGGCAACCGGCTCCCCGTCGTACGTCTTGTCCTTGTAGACGACGTTAGGGGGCCCACAAAGGACGCACGCGCACAGCCATGCACATGAACACGGCCCCTCGACCCGCGAGACCGGCCGCGCGATACAAACATTCGCGCAAAGCGAACTCTCGAAACCAGCGTGGATTCATGCACGCGCACGTCCTTCTTTCGCTCCTGAGACGCTCGTGGACTGCAGCGCCTGCGCCTGCGAGTCGAACTCTGCGCCGTTGACCTTGAGGCGCGCGACGCCCCGGACGGCGCGCCGGGCGGCGTCCTGCTGCCTGGCGGCGTCGCCAGCCAGACCCTCGCGGCGCCGCTGTCCCGCTGCGTTCTCCGGGGCGTCTGGCGACTGCCCCTTCGCCGCGTCCTGCTTGGCTGCCAGGAAAATCACCGCGAGCGCGTCCTTGATGGAAGCCGGAAGGAAACGCCCCATGGCCTCCTTGCACGACGCGCTTCCGGAAAGGATTGCGGAGCCCACCATGCCCGTCAGGTGGGAGAGAAAGTCCCACGTGGGCCCGTCGCCGCTGCGCTGCTTGTCGTAGCTCCCGGGGCGCAGCACCACTGTGGTCGTCACGACGCGGGCGAGTGCGAGGAGCATCTGGTGCGACTAGTTGGCACTGCGGAAGAGCGGGTCGTTCCTGCCGAGCCACAGGTGGCTAGCGAAGGTGAACTTGCACATGCGCGGGTGGCGGAGAGAGAACGCGCCCAGGCAAGGCCCCCGCTCGATCGCTCCTCAAAATTCAAGCCTGAAGACCCCCAAAAGTGACGACAGTCGACAATTACAGGTTGCCGATGACCCGCTCGGATTACCAACATGAAATGTGGGCCCCATAGGGAGGAGGCCCCGCCTGAGACTTCCTCGCAATTCACTCACAGACGAGGCTCCAGCCTGAGACCCCCTCTATACTCGAGCCTGAGGAGCCCAGAAGTGACGGTTGCAAGTTCTGGATGACCCGCTCGGATTACCAACATGAACTGCGGGCCCCATAGGATGGGGGCTCGCGCCTGGGACTTCCTCGCAATTCACTCACAGACGAAGCCCCCGCCTGAAACTTCCTCCATACTCAAGCCTGAGGAGCCCAAAAGTGACGACGAGTTCCCGATGACCCGCCCGGATTACCAACGTGAAATGCGGGCCCTATAGGGAAAAGGGCTCCCGCCGGAGACTTCCTCGCAATTTACTCACAGACGAGGCCCCCGCCTGAGACTTCCTCCATACTCAAGCCTGAGGAGCCCAAAAGTGACGACAGTTACAGATTTCCGATGACCCGCTCGGATTACCAACATGAAATGCGGGCCGTATAAAAATGAGGGCTTCCCCCTGAAATTTCCTTGCAATTCACGCACCGACGAGGCTCCCGCCTGAGACTTCCTCCATACTCAAGCCAGAGGAGCTCAAAAATGACGACGGTTACAAGTTTCCGATGACCCGCTCGAATTAACGAGATGAAGTGCGGGCCCCATAGGGATGGGGGCCCCCGCCTGAGATTTCCTCGCAATTCACTCACAATCGAGGCTCCCGCCGACGACTTCCTCCATACTCAAACCTGAGGAGCCCAAAAGTGACGACAATTACAAGTTTCCGATGACCCGCTCGGGTTACCAACATGAACTGCGGGCCCCATAGAGAGGGGGCTCCCGCCTGAGACTTCCTCGCAATTCACTCACAAACGAGGCTGCCGCTTGAGACTTCCTCTATACTCGAGCCAGGAGGTCAAAAGTGACGACAATTACAAATTCTGGATGACCCGCTCGGATTAGTAACATGATCTGCGGGGCCCATAGGGAGGGGGCCCCCGCCTGAGACTGCCTCACTATTTACTCACAGACGAGGCTCCCGCTTGAGACATCTTCCATCGTCAAGATGGGGAGTGAGTGATGACGAAGTGATGGGTGAATGATGATGATGATGATGATGCTGATGATGATGAGTAAAGGAGTGATGATTATGAATAGAGATTCAGTGTGTGAATGTGACGATGCTGGTGATCATGAAAGCGTGTGAGTGTGTGATTGCTGGAGATGACGATGCTGATGAATGAAGGAGTGGGTGGGAGTGAGTGATGCGGAGGAGAGAGGGGTGTGGGTGAAGACTGCGCGGGGTGCCCAGCGAAAACAAGAAGCCCACTTAGGATGCGGGGAACAAGAACCCCACTTTGGATGTGGGGAAAGGTCATGTTGAGTGATGAGAGTGTGTGGGTTATGTGCGACAGAATATGATGATGACGGGGTGGTGGTGATGCTGCTGATGATGACGATCAATGGCCGATGGTGATGGTGATCGATGGTGAGTGACTGCGTATGACGATGATGGGGATGGTGATGATGATGACCGATGGTTATGATGACCGATGACGGGGTGAATGCGTGAGTGAGGCGGAGAGTGGGAAGGAGGTTCCCGCGCGAAGGGTGTCCAAAGAAAACAAGAACCCCACTTGGGATGTGGGGAATGAAATGCGGGCCCCATAGGGAGGGGGTCCCCGCCTGAGACTTCATCATAGTTTACCATAGTTTACTCACGTCTCCCCGCCGGATCCTTCCTCTATATTAAAGCCTCGGGAGCCCTAAAGTGACGACAATTTCACGGTTGAGGATGACCCGCTCTGATTAAAAACATGAGGTGCGGGCCCCATAGGGAGGGGGCTCCCGCCTGAGACTTCCTCGCAGATCAGTCACAGACGAGGCTCCCCGCCTAATACTTCCCCTATATTCAGGCTTCGGGAGCCCCAAAGTGACGACGGTTACACGGTTGGGGATGACCCGTTCGAATTACCAACATGAAGTGCGGGCCCCACAGGGAGGGGGCTCCCCCCTAAGACTTCCTCGCAGTTCACTTACACACGAGGCCCCCCGCCTGATACTTCCCCTATATTCACGCCTCGGGAGTCCCAAAGTGACGACAGTTACAGGGTTGAGAATGACCCGCTCGGATTAAAAACATGAAGTGTGGGCCCGGGCCCCATAGGGAGGAGGGCCCCCGCCTGAGACGTCCTCGCAATTCACTCACAGACGAGGCTTCCGCCTGATACTTCCCCCATATTCAAGCTAGCGAATGAGTGGGTGAGTGAGTGAACGACTGAATGAATGATGATGATGATGATGATGATTATGATGATGATGATGATGACGATCGTGATGATGATGATGATGCTGCTGCTGATGATGATAGTGATGACACTCCTCCCAGGGTGGGAGGGTGGGAACCGAAGACAGGCTATGGAGGGGGGAGAGCGGGGACAGGTGAGAGAGGGCACTCCGATGTGTAAACTTCCATGGATCGTTTAGCAGGTATTGACATCACCGAATTCAAAAAGCCCAAGCTCAAACCGTTCAAGAACATATAGAGCAACTCTTTTTTCACATTGCAGGGACATGAATCTGACGAAAGCCTCGAAATGTCCAGGCCAGAGGTTAAAGTCGCTGCACGCTCTCACTCCTCCCCAAGTTTCCCGAATACGGGAGTTCACTAGGGTTGGGAAGGGAGGGATCTTGAGTTGTATCCGAACGTGGCGACGCAAGCGGCAGCGAGCGCTCGAACTATACAGTGCGCGAGCTCAGGCGGGCAGGCGGCCGCTGGACGGGCGCGGGCGCTTCCTTCGAGCTGGAAATGAGGGAGGCCTGTCCGCGAGCACCGTCCTTTCTGACCACGGCATTTTCTGCACAGATTCTGAAGGTCGTCAACTGCTACGCGACAGAACATCAGGCGGGTTGGCTTCTTACATAGGGCTCTGAATTGGCACTGGTCTAATTCAACTAAACTGACATGCGGCAGGTGGGCTAAAGCTTGGATCTCTGCGGCGCGCCACAGACGAGAGGTGAGCGGGTGCTCGAGAACGGCAAGGATCTTGAGCCGATGGAAAAAAGCAAATAATCCTATGGCGGCGTGGGCAATCTGATTGCCTACTTTGACCTTTTCTCGGTCTGTGGCGCTGAGCAGCTGTCTGGGCAACCCCCAGGGCACATCCGGGGACCGGATCTCTGCTGTCCGATCCCGCGCGATTGAAAAGGTTCGGCACGAAGGGGCCAAAGCTGCTGCCAAGATTAGGCCCCGACGGGCGTCGCGTCGGATTGCCCGAAGGACCTTCGGGTCAACAAGATTCTGCCAGACTGGATCGTGGGCTACATCCCAACTGCGTGTCCTGAAGCCTAGTTTATCGCCTGCACGCGAGACGCACTGGCTCCCGGCAAAAGAGCCCGCTACATACCGGCCTCTGAGGCCAAAACGCTGCGCGGCGAGGCGTCTCTCGCGACAGCCGCGGGAGGTCCGCCTTAGCTTGGCACGAGCGACTGCCAGGTCCGCATCCGCATCTCCTCTAGGGCGCGCGAGAGTCTGCTGGCGTCGATGATCGCGCCTGAGCGGCGAAGGTGGCACAGCGTCAGCCTGTCGACCCCGTCCTCGGCCGCCGCCAGCTGCACCGCCTTTGAAAGCTCTAGGTACGCGAAAGGCCACAGCATCGGCCGGTCTCCGCTCCCTCCGGGCTCGGGGAATAGAGGACCTGGCCCCTGGAAGTAGCTCGAGTCCAGGAGGCGCCCCTCGTCGTAGCGATTTGTTTTGCTCGGTCTTCCCTCTTCCTCGGGGTGAGTCGGAAGGCTCCAGCTGCCCACTGTTGCACGCGACGGTGGGGCCAGGGCGCACCTTCGAGCTGCCACCAGGGAAGAGGACCTGGAACAAGCGGAGAGGCCCACCGCTAAGAACAGAGCCATGAGCGGGAGGCCCTTGTCCGCCAGCAGCCACACCCCCGGCGGCTGCACGGCGAACGGCAGTGCTCGGCGGGTCCGCGAGGGCGCCCGTCGTCTCCACGCCTCCAATGCTTGCCACGTCCGCGGCGGGGCCCCCCCGCCCCGCTGGCCGAAAGCTGGGCGCCGGTCCACCCGGGCAGTTCCAGTCTGGTCGCCCAGGCTGATCTGCTCCCCAGACAGGTACATCGCGTTGAAGTAGTCGCACGCCCAGCAGTCCACGGCCTCGTTCGTGCTCCTCACGAGCTTGTCGTTGGTCGGGTCGGCATGCGAGTAAGAACGATCGAGATACTGGGCGTAGCGCTCCCTCGCCCGGCGGGTCACCGCCAGCAACGTGGGCCCCCCGACAACGGCCTGCATGATCATGTCCGTGTGGAGGGCCGCTTGGCGTTGGCGCCGGGAGTCCTGGAGGCGGCGAGATCTCCTCGAAGCCGCCGTCGCATGGTTCACCACGATGTCGGACCCGTTCGACTCGCCTTCTCCCTCGGCGCCCGCCTCGTCGTCGCCAGCGGAGGCCGCGGGAGCGAGGTCCTCGAGCGCCACAGGAGGCGACGCCGGCGGCTGGCAGGGGCGGCGCTCCAAGCGTGTCCTGGTTGGTCGGGCGCCGTGGACCCCCGTCGGCACGCCGAGGCGGGCTCTGGGGCCACGTGCCTCCGTCGCTCTCTGGGGCCCCGTCAGCACTCTCGCCCTCGCCCTCGCCGTCAGCGGAGCACTCGGGCAAGGCGGCGGGCGGGCGCCAGGTCTCGGCCGAACACGTAGCGGTCCTGGAGAGATCGCCCGCACTGGGGCCCACGTCGGCTGCAGCGCCCGAGCACACATCCGTCGGGACAGACTCCTCGGGCACGGAAGCGAGGGAGGCCT